GGGAAGGATGGGGGATGTTCTGTCCCTTTAATAGAGGCTTAATGGGGTGTTATTTACCAGGTGATATTATTCGCCTCCACACCGTGAAAAACTTCAGCTGCACATTTCCACGCTTTGAGCCTCTAGTAAAAGAACAGGACACTTTTCCTCCAGGTGTGTTGGCAACCCTAGTTGGAGGGTAAGGGCGGTCACCGTCGGATTTCGTGTTGCTCTACTTGCCCTTCTTAAGATCCAGAAACAGGCATTTTTTAAATTCAAAATGTATGTTCCTAGACCTCACTACTTTGCAGGAAAAGTCACCAAAACCCCACTGTGGTAAATACATAAAAAATAGAACTGCACATCACCCTGAAAAGCTCTGAGGAAATGAGACTGCTATCCTACGCACACCCATGTCCCACTGACTCATTTCCCACTTACAATCCCTTCAATTTCTCTCCCCACAACAGACACCCTGTGAGGTAGGTGGGGCTGAGAGAGCTCTGAGAGAACTGTGACTGACCCAAGGTCACCCAGCGGGCTTCATGTGAAGGAGTGGGGAATCAAACCCGGTTCTCTCAGATTAGAGTCTGCGCTCTTAACCACTACACCAAACTGGCTCTGTAGTGTCCAATCTGAGGTCCAATTTCTTCATTTTAAAGCAGCCGTGATCCTGAAATGTTGAGACAATGGGCACGTATGTGTTAAATGTAAAAATAAAAAATAAAAGGTTAAATCTCACAGTTAACTAAGGGTTGCAAAATTCAGCTCTACCAGACGGCTTCATTGAATTGATGAAGAATTCCGTGACCACTGAAAAAGCTCGTTAATTAGCACGAAGGAGATCTTTGTGGGGAGCTCGGCAATTCCCTAGCACTGTATGCCTTTGATTCGGCCTTGGGGCACAATCGACCGGAACTATCTCCTATGAAAGGGAAATAAAACGGGAGCTGCACCAAATCCAACTGGCACATACAAGGGCGGCTATTATTCTTTAAAAATAACAGGCCCTGTTCCTGTGCCCTGACCAGAACCCCGACACACCAAGATTCAACAGCAGTGCTCCCCCCCCCGGGGCCATTTATTTCCAGCCTTGGAAAGAAGGAAAAGCTTAGCCTATGAATATTCTGGAAGCCAGGCTATTGTTCAAGGGACATGACAACGACTGTCCAGGCTCTCTGCCCTGAGACCCCGCAGAGCTGCTGCCAATCTGAGTAGACAACATTGACTTTGACAGACCAAAGGTCTGCTTCAGTATAAGGCAGGTTCGTGATTCTGAAATTTGGGGAATCTCGCAGTGAACTGAACAAGAGCTGCAAAATGGTGCCTTCCCAGTCCCTTGTTGTTTTAGATAATACCATTGGGCACTGGAGTTTTCTGGGGGTACCTATATTCACCTGACATGAGGCAGGGGGTTTGTTGCTATTGTTTATCGTGCCATCTACTGTTTTATTGTTTTTATTGTTTTATGGATTTTGCGTTGTATGCTGCACTGAGTCCGTTTGTGGGACAGGGCGGGGTATAAATTAAATAAATAATAAACAGGGCTCTTTTTCAGGGGGGGGATGCTGGAGCGGAGTTCCAGAACCTCTTTCCCCCCAAATATTTTAAAAATGTTATAAAGTTCATGAGTTTTCAGTATACAGATTGAAAACTTCATTACGCCTGAAGTAATGCTGAGTATACTACCTAAAGACTTTGAAAAAAGCAACAGATATTTAATTATCTACTTTACTACAGCGGCAAGAATGCTATATGTCAAATACTGGAAGGCACAAGATGTACCAAAAAAGCAGGAATATATACAAAAACTGATGGAAACAGTGGAAAGTGATAAATTGACTTTGTTGATAAGAGGATCCACAAACGATACATTCCAGAACACATGGAGGCGCTTCTATAATTGGTATAATAGCGCAAATGATTGTAACCTAAAAATGTAATCCCTAGAGCAAAGTATAGGTTAGAACATTGAGATAGCAGGTACAGATGTTGGCTTTAAGATACAAAAATGTGAGCTCATAGAAAATAATGATACATGATATTGTATTAGATAGAGAATATCTAAGAGGCAATTATTGGAAACGTAAGCATTTGATACCCCCGTTTGTGTTATATGTGTGTACGTTTGGTTTGTTATGAAAAAACAAATGAAATTCTACCCTTTGAGGGCAGATTTTTATTTTTTTTAAAAAGAAACTGGTTGTGTCTGAAGAAGCGAGCCGTGCCTCACGAAAGCTCCTCCCCTGCCACATATTTTGCTAGTCTTTACGGAGAGAGAGAGAGAGAGAGAGAGAGAGAGAACGAACACTTCCTTTCCCTCTTGAGAGTTCTGGCACCTCTTTTTCCAAAAGAAAAAAAAAGCCATAACAACAACAATAAATTTAGCTCTAGCACGAAATCCAGCTCTCTGTGCACACTGCCTGTATCTTTTGATGGGCCCCGATGCAAGAGAAATCCCCACTGAACTGTGTTCTGTGCCTCGAAATGTTCTTTCACCAACATCTCACGGATTACAGGGATCTTGTGAGCCGTCTGCTATTGGCGCGTCATCAGACAGGGAGCGGGAGTCGTGCTGTCGCCCCCAGCCCTGCTCTCTTACACCTGTGCCGCGAGGGTTGTTGTGGCAACCGGGCACAGCTGCGCCCTCTTGGCTGGGTTCCAGCCTCCTTAAGAAAGGGAAGGGAGCCACAGAGCCATGCCGGTGAACAGACGCGGTAAAAACACTGCTCTCCCTCCAGTCCTTGCTAGGCCGCTCTTAGAGTGATTCCTCAAGGCTGACCCTTGGCCTGACTTTGGATTTCAAGTTGCCTCAGCCAGACGGTTCCAGACTCAGCTTCATTCCCGAGATCTGATCTCTTTAGGCAGCTGTCTGTACTGGGTTTTGAGGGGTTTGATCCTGCCGACAGACAGACTTGCTATGTTATGAATATTTTGCCTGAAGTGAAATTGGATGTGAAGTGGGAGTTTCGCCTCAGACAAAATATCGGAGGCATTTCTAAGAAAGCCAAAGGTGATTCCATCTGACTGGCAACATTTCTCAAACAGGTTCTGGCTTCTCCTTGGTTCGCACAGGATTATGCCTTAAGTGAAATTTAAAGTGGTGCAGGGGCCCTTTGAGGATGAACACAATTTAGGTATAGCTGGATTTGAGGCCAGGAGCACCTGGGAGATCCACAAGAGTCTCAGGATATAAAGCTTTCGAGAGCAAAATCTCCCTTCGTCAGACAGGAGTAGGAATAGAGACCTCAGAGCCTTTTTATTCCAGCCAGAAAGTGGGGGGTGTTGTAAAGAATACTTATAAAGGACACAAAGGTACAATGTGTATTGTAATCAGCTTGATCAGAGGAGAGGGGAAACACTTAAGGGCGGAAAATTAGCCTCTATAGTGAGATAAGAATCCTGTGTCCCTATTCAGCCCTGGTGGGGCCATTGTTCTGAACTCATCAATTAACTCAAGTTCAGCAGTCTTGGGTTGTTCGCACAGAACGGCTTACAGTTCACTTCCCAGTTTCATCTTTAAATGACTTGACATCAGACAAATTATGGCTGTCTGCCTTCTGCACCTGTGCAGACCAGAGCATCTCTCTGTGAGGTGTTCACAAGAACTGACTGCTAGGTTCATGGGCAGACACACAAGACACCAAGAGACATTTAAGTAGTAAGTTTCAATTCAAGCAGGCAGCAAGTGCAAGAAAGCATTCTAATTGTTCAAGAAAGCAGTGTAATTGTGCAAACTGGACTCCTCTTAGAACAAAGTTTGAGTCCACTGGCACTTTTAAGACCAACAGAGTTTAATTCGGGGTATAAGCTTTCATGTGCAAGCACACTTCTTCAGATATACACACAAAAACTTATACCCAGAATTAAAAGTTGTTGGTCTTAAAGGTGCCACTGGACTCAAACTTTGTTCTGCTGCTTCAGACCAACATGGCTACCCACCTGAATCTGGACTCATCTTAGTTGGCGTGTACATATCTGAGCAGCTCACATCTCCCTTCCCCTTGACCTTCTTTTGTTTGGTAACTGCCACTTTCTCTTGAAATCTTCTGTTTGAGAACTGCCACAGATTTCAAAGGAAGCCATACGAACAAACAAGGGGGGGGGGGGTCTGTATGTTTTACCAAACACCTCCAGGTTGACCCCAGATTTCCTCTGGTGAAATTCAAGTAAACTTGGAGATTTGCTCTCAGGCAGAACTTCTGAAGGATTCCAAAGAAAGCCAAATGAGACTAGCCACATTTCTATGAAGGATTCCATGTATATCTAGGATGATAATGAATTTGGCCTAAGGTGAAATTCAAAACCAATATGGTAGGTCCTCCACTAGTCAAACATCTGAGGGAAGCCAAAAGAGTTTCGAGAAACCTGAAACTCCTTAGTGGGGAGGGGCTTGCACACCCTACAGAGTATTGGACTGGCCTAGTCCTTGACCACAGGAGATCAGAGCAAAAAGGCACAAAAGGGGTTCCCAACCTTTTTAAGCGGGCAAGAACTTTTGGAATTCTGACACAGGGTGGTGGGTGTGGCCACAAGATGGCTGCCACAGGAGGTGGAGCCAGCCACAAAATGGCTGCCATAGCTTACCTTCAGTCACACAGTGACGATCCTTGTGCTGCGGTGGCCGTTGCTGCCGAAGCAACGTTTTAAAAAAATCTCCACCGCCAATCAAATATTCAATGGCCAGTCAGAAAAAGGCCCCACATGGCCCCCACTCACCACCTCAAAAAACTTGGCAGATGCCAGGAAAATTGTCAGCAGGAGCCCGTGGTGCCCCTGCTTTACAAAACAGTGTCTTGCAACTACATACCTTGACAGCATAGGTGCTGGAGGGGTCCTTGGCACAGGTGGCGCAGTAGTAGATGGCATCCCCCGAATCACAACAGGGCTTGTTGCAGGTCAGTTTGAAGAGAGACCAGTTGTTCTCGTAGAAATGCAGCTCGCTCTTCTGCTCGCGCATAAAACAGTCTTCGCATTTCGCGACGAGGCGGCGCAAGGACTCTGCGTAGAGCCCTCCTAGCTTCGCGTACACCCCTTCCTTGTTATCAATGTTGCTGAGGAGGTTGTGGAGCTGGAGGCTGGAACCTGAGGGAACCTGGGCGGCCATGTTGTGTTGGGAGGAGGAACGAGGAGGCGGCAGATTTCTGTCCCGGGGGCAGCAGACGTTGCCGTTCTTACCAGAAAGTGGAAACGGGGACGGGGATCCTTTGAAGGCTTTTTCCAGCGACTCGGAAGATGAAAACGTTCGGTGGGTAATTCCCAAATTGGAGCCGAACGGAGATTCTTCACGGATACAGACGTTGCTTTCTGACTGACTGAAGTTCAGCTTGGGGCTTCTGGGAATTGCCGCTCTAGCCGGTGAGGTTGGGCCCCAGTAGAAACCATCAGGCGACGAGACAGCTCTGCTGACCGTCTTCTTTTGGGGCAGTGGGGGTGGCTGTAAGGGTATGCAATGCGGCCTGTCTTGGCTAGAACACGCAGGGACATGAGCCGGAGGAAAGAGATGCTTCCCAGTACGAGTCGGCGAATGCAGACTAGCTTTGCACGACGGCCCTGAAACAGAGGCGGAGAGAAAACCGAGTATGTCAGAGATTCCCAAATGTCCTACCAGCACGGATAAATAAAGATGTTTTACAACTCCAGGGCTGATAACTGTGTTGCATCTAGATAGGTAAGCACACAAGCAAAGGATAATGAAATTCTAACTAAGGATTGAGAACCTCACCTTGGAGGATTGATCCAAGCGTTATTTCTGAGGCAAGGGGACTGGGTCGTAGAGATGCCAGGCCTGGGGATTCCCTGGAATTACAGCTCATCTCCAGTCTGCAGTTCCCCTCGAGAAAATGGATGCTTTGGAGGGTGGACTCTATGGCATTGAGGTCCCTGTCCCCCGCAGGCTCCACCCCAAGCTCCGCCCCTCACCAGTGGCCAGGGGGACCTGACAACCCGACCGGGACAGTGTGTGATCTAGCATTCTTTGTACAGAAGGGCCATCAGGGAGAACCAGGAGACCAGAACAGCCCTGGAAAAGGACCCTCTATGGAAGGGGGAGGGAAGGAGCAGGCGCACCGTGGCTCCCCTGCGGCTTGAGCCTGCCCACCTTGTGTGGAGCCGGGGGTTAAGGTTGCCAACTTCCAGGTGGAGCCTAGAGACCTTCCAGAATTACTAATGATTTCCAGACTATCAATCAGTCAATCAATCAATCAATCAATCGACCTTTATTGGCAGAACATAAGACTCCATTTCCATTTGCAAGGAATACTGAACGCTTTCTTGAAGCTTCATACAGAAATCTTGCAACACTTTCAATTATTATGTGATTCTGGGTTGTCAGCAGAAAGTAAATCTTACATTTATCAGGTTTCCCTGAATACTTTCTCAATCATGGCTTGATGAATATACGGCGCAGGTCCAAGTAGAAAGTACATGAAAGAAACACATGTTCAAGAGTTTCTATCTCTCGCTTAGTGCAGGAACACAATCTACGGTCGAATGATTTCCAGACTACAATGATCAGTTCCCCTGGAGAAGGCAGCTGCTTTGGAGAGCACAGCCTATGGCATTGTATCCCACCGAAATCCCTCCCCTCCCCTTCCCAAATCCCACCCATCCCAGGCCCCACCCCCCAGATTTCCAGTAACTTGAGAGCCAGTTTTGTGTAGTGGTTAGGAGCGCCGACTCTAATCTGGGAGAACAGGGTTTGATTCCCTGCTCCTCCACATGCAGCTGCTGGCGTGACCTTGGGTCAGTCACAAGTTCTCTCAGAGCTGTTCTCTCACGCGCAGTTCTCAGAAGAGCTGTCTCTCAGCCCCACCTACCTCACAGGGTGTCTGTTGATGGGGAGGGTGAGGGAAAGGAGACTGTAAACCGCTCTCCTTCGGGTAGTGAAGGGTGGGGTATATATCCCTCCTCCTCCTCCTCTTCTAATTTCACACCCTAGAGCTGGCAACCCTTC